TTACTCGTGTTGTTGTTGGTTGTTTTGCCTGGCGCACGGATTTTTTCCGTTTTTTTTTGTTTGTTTTAGATGTTTTACACCGTAGCGTTTTATAGGTATGTCGAAGAAGCAGGAAGCGAAGTTCTACGGCTCCAGCGCCGCAAAGGACGAGCTGGTGTACGGCGTTGTGCACGTCTATGCGTCCTTCAACGACACATTTGTTCATGTGACGGATATGTCGGGTCGCGAAACCTTCTGCAAGGTTACCGGTGGTATGAAGGTGAAGGCGGATCGTGACGAGAGCTCTCCCTACGCTGCCATGATGGCCGCTCAAGACGTTGTAGCGCGCTGCAAGGAGTGCGGCATTAACGCGTTGCACGTTAAGATGCGCGCCACTGGCGGTGTTGGTACGAGGAGCCCTGGCCCCGGCGCCCAGGCCGCCCTTCGTGCCTTGGCGCGCGCTGGCATGAAGATTGGCCGCATCGAGGACGTGACCCCGGTTCCGACTGACTCTACTCGCCGCAAGGGCTCTCGCCGTGGCCGTCGTCTGTAGAGACAACCTGTGAAGCTCCTTACATTTTATTTTATCTGATTTTTAATCCTTTTAGATATTTACTGTTAGCATTTTTCTTTTTTTCTTTTCCATTTTGTTCTTTTTTCTTGATGTGCAACGTCATCTTATTGGTTCTCTGCTCATTTCCTTCTGGAATGATGCTGTTTTCTATTTTTTTTGTTTTTTTTGCTGTTGTTTTGCTTGTGTGTTCTTGTTGCCGATTGGTGGCGATTAGTAGTGGAGTATGTTCCGTGTTTTTGGCCGACGCCTCATCTCTCGCACACTGCCGCTGTTGCAGGATGCACACCACGATCTGCCAGAAGGTTTTGAGTTTTTCGAGAACAAGGTTGTGGATAAGGACATTCATGCTTCCTACGAAAACCTTGAGACTCTCAGATTCACCCTTACTCGTCAGGATGAATTTATCATGCGGGAAAACCCTGTGAAGTGTGTTACGGTGACTGGCGTGAATGGTGAGTATGGCATTTACCCTGGGCACGCCTACAAAATTGTTCAGCTTGTGCCTGCCCCACTGACGGTAGAGTTTACTGACGGGAGAACGCAGAAGTACTTCGTGAGTGGCGGCTTTGCACACATCAATAATGAAGGTTCATGCGATGTGAATGTGGTGGAGTGTGTCCCTATCGAGGACCTTGAGCTTGCTGCCGCTGAGAAGTCACTTGCAGCGCAACAAGCATTATTAGGCTCTGCAAAGGACGACAAGGCCCGATCAGTTATTGAAATCCGTATTTCTGTGCTTGAGCGCGTCATTGCCGCCTTGAAGCACCACTAAGAGGTGAATCAAACGTGCGACAGACTATAAATGTTGAAGGTGAATTAGTTCTACCTTGATTCTTCTTGTAGGAGCGTGTTATTAGAGGAGGTGGTGGCGGTGGCGTCAGTCATTCCATAGCCAATTTCTTTTTTATAAAAACTTATTCTTTGTTCTCTGATGGGCTAGTGGTTGGCTTTGTTTTCAAATGGGCATTGGTGTGCGCATTATGTTTTTGGTTGTTTTTGTCCGTAGTCCTTGTGTGAACTCGTCCTCCTCCTTTTTTTCCCATGTGCGTTGCTCCTTGCAGGGTCTAGAAGGGAACTGGCGATGGAGCAGCAGGTCATTGCGGTGCACTACCAGCGGATGGAGGAATGGCTGGGGGACCGAAAGGCGGTGCTGGGGAAGAAGCATAAGAAGGAGTTTGCACGCCTCATGGAGCTGGCGCCCAGGCTGGAGCAGTGGGTGCGATACGACATTCCGGCGCAGCACAAGCAGCAGAAGCGGCTTTCAAGTGCGCTGGACGACGCCCATCGGGCCATCGAAGATGCCACCAAAACGCGACGGAATCTTGAGGAGCGAGAGAAACAATTTGTTCAGGAGTATGGTCTCGAAGAGGCTCTGGCTGCGGTGAAAGAAGATCTTGAGTCAGCTGTTGACGCAATGATAGCCGCCAGCACAATTCGCCTCAACGAGGCGCTTAGGGAATTTGGTAGAAGCACCCATTTTGCGGCTCTTCGCGAGGCTTACGTTCGTGTTGTACAGATGCATTCAATGGAAATGTGCAGCGATGACGTCTTTTTAGTACACTTTCCCTGGTTGGACAGAATTTACCAGGAGAGGTCGTACAATTTGGCGGCGGAGCTACATCATGATGAACAGCAGCAGCAGCAGCAGGAGGAGGAAAAAAATGAGGCAACTGTGGGGCCTAGCAATATTGATTGGGGCGATGTGGACACCACTGAGCCGCTTGACATTGACGCGGCGATAGAAATGAAATGGGATGGAGAAGTCCTTTCCATAGTTGCAATGGGTGAGACGGATGCCGCTCACGGCATTGGTGGAAATAGTGGCACCACGGAGGATTGCTACAAGGAAAAAATGACGGGGAAGGTGGAGGGAGTGGCTTACACCAGCATCTCCAATTCCACCTATCGTCACAATCTATTGACTGAGCTGCAGGCGCTACTTTGTTTTGCCGAGGAACGAGCTTTTATGGACGATGATTCACTTGCCCACGATGGTATGGCACTTGGCTTACTTATTAAGCGGCTAACAACATCAACGGAGGCAGCTTTCGT